ATCTCTTCTTCCCCGGAGCGATACAAGATCATAAAGAAGGCTGAATATGGTCCATGTGACTTTTGGACTTTTCGGCGAGATGTTGGGTAATACGGGATCGATTTATGCGCTCTGCCGACGGCAAAGTGGGCGATGCTGGTCGTGTTACCGTTGCTTCTCTCGCGGTTTTGTAATTGTTTACTCGTCCGCTGTCGTAGTAACAAGTTTGTGACGACCTTCTGATCATGAGATTGCCAACGTGAAGCACTCGGGGAATGAGGCCGACGGTGGCAAGATGAGGTGGCGGTGCTATCCTCTGTAGAACGTTTGATGATGTTGAAAAGATTGATGAACTGGCTCACCGTTACCGATGATGATTCGTGATTGCGCAAGAACCCTGCGCTTCAATGGCCGTGTTTGCTTTGCTCGTGGCCTTCTGTCCTCGGGTACTCAGTTGCCTGACTCGACTCTCATGTGGCACGATTGAAGGGTTCCTGCTGCTGTTGCTAGACATGTGAACATCGGGACCCGTCAAGATCGAGGCTTGAGGTCGCAGTTCATAGTTGAAGCGGAATTGACGTTCACGACGTTGTCCGCCTCGCTGTCACTCAGTCTGCACTAAGAATCAGTCACGATCCGAAAGGCAAATTGGCAGTCGTCTTAATTTGTCTGTAATTTCATTTCATCTGTAGAAACGCCTAGGTATGGTATGCGCAAAAAAACTTCAAAGCCCATCTTCTGTCTCCCCCAATCTACAGTCCATCCAAGTGTCTCTAAAGCTCGTCGTGCTCCAGCGCATCCTCCTGCTCCTTGGCAGCGGCCTGCTGGGCCTGCTGAGACTGATCAAACTTCTTGAGGATCTCCTCAATCTCCGCCTCGCTGGGCGTCTCACCATCGCTGCCGCCGAACTGAACGTAGCTTCCGCCACCGGGAAGCTCAACGGTCCGGCCAGCGGGGGCTTCACCGGCGGTTGAGCTCTTGGAGGGAATGGTGGTAGTAGACTTCTTGCCGTCCTCGGGAGAGGCAGTTGCTGAGGTCGAGGCGGTGGCGGTGGACTTTGTCTTCTTAGCCGCCTTGGCAGCCTTGCTTGCCTTCTTGGTCTTGCCCTCCATGTTCTTGACGCCCTTCATCGCCAAGTCCATGCCGGCCTTGTCGAGCTTGTCACGCTTGGCCTGGAGATCCTTGACGAGGAGGACGGGGTCCGCAGTTGCGGCAAGGGCGTCCTGCTTCTTCTCCATCTCATTGAGCCACTTGTTGGTGGTCTCGTAGACGTCCTCGACGACTTCGATGTCCTCACGCTTGTACAGGGGCGGGACGGGGCCCTTCTCCTTCACGACATCCTCCATCGTGCGCTCCTTTCCGGTGGAGTCCTCGTCCTCGAGACCGTCAAAGTCGCCAGACGGAGTTGCTGAAGGGGTCTCGGTAGAGGTGCTAGAAGAAGACTCGGTGGCCGCTGAGGCGTGCCACTCATCGTACTCATCAATCTGCTTCCTGATTGTGCCGACAAAAGTCTGGGTGGAGTTGAGGGCTTCCTTGAGAGCCTTGATGAGCTCAGGACGCTTCTCGGACTCTTCGCTTCTCTTCTGGATCTTAGTGACGGGGTCGTTGAGCTCCTTGTACTTCTTCTTGAGCTCATCGCGGGACGCGTCGGCGCCCTCCTCGTACAGCCAGTCACTTGCCTCGCTGTTCTTCTTCTCCAAAGTGGCACGCTCCTCGGCGGTAGAGGCTGCGATGAAGGAGTCGCTCTCGAGGAGATCGCGGACCTTGTAGGTGAAACCCTCGAGCTGGTTGAGAGCCTCCTCTCTCAGGCGGCGGGCCTTGTCTGAAGCCTCAAAGGCCTTGAGGCGGTCCTTGGACTTGACAAGCTCCTCACGGGAAAGCTCAGGCAGACCGGCCTTCTCAAGGGTGAATTCGACGTTGATGGTGACGAGCTCCTTCTTCTTGGGGGCGGGCTCCTTGCCATCAGCCGCCGCGTCACTGGGAACGGGCGACGAGGAGGCGGTGGTAGACTCAGTCTTGGTCGAGGCGGTAGTGGAGGACTCAGATTCCGTGGTTGAAGACTCTTCGTCCTCCTCTCCATCAAGAGGCTTCTGGTCTCCCTTCTTGTTGCCAAAGCCGAAAAGGTTCTTGACGCCATCGACAAAGCCCTCCTTTTCGGGGGCCTCGGCCTCGCACTCAACGGTAGCCTTGGTAACCTCAACCTCGCCGCTCTCACTGCTCAGCTTGACGCCGACCTTGAAGTGAATGTCACTGTCAACGCAGGAGTACTTCTCCTTCAGCTCCGCGACGGAGGCGGTGAGGTTCTTGGTAGAGAAGACCTTGGTATCCTTCTCGGCAGACTCGATCTGCTGATAGAAAGTGACATCAAAGTCCTCGTGGTTGGTGAAGGTGACGTCCTTGGGGACACCACCCTGAGGGGAGACGGCAGACCACAGGCGCTGGTGCTGGAGCTTGTTCTTGTTGTTGGTCCACTTCATGCCAGAGGCGTAGTTGGCGCCCTCGGAGATGCGAATCTCCTTGACACGGAAGCTGGGGCTCAACTCGGCAGCGCGGAAACCGGCACCGAATACGGCGGCCTCGTCAGAGTTGACGTTGCTGCGAAGCTTCTCGGCGGAACCGACGATTAGCTCCAGCTGCTTCTGAACAAAGGGTGTTCGGGAGGCGCCGCCGTGGAGAATGACAGAGGTCAGGTCAGAGAGCTCAAGCTGGGCAGTCTTCAGAGCTCCCAGAAGAACGGCGTCAACACGCGCGGCGTGGGTCTCGGCCATCTTCTCGAAATCGGGGCGGGTGAGCTTGTACTTAAAATCGACATCCTCGTAGAGCCCCTCGAAGCTTGCGCCGGCCTGCTGGTTGGCGCTGAGGACATGGCGCAAACGCTCCGCCTCCTTGGTGAGCTTCGCGATCGCGCGGCCATGGGCCTTGACCTTCTCGGCATCGGCAGAGATCTTCTTTCCACCCTTGGACTCGACAAATTGGGCGACCATGTCGTCGACAATGAGGTAGTTGAGTGCGTCACCGCCCAGAGTCCTGTCCCAGCCAGTGCCGATGACCGAAACCTCCTGGATGGTCTTGTTGAACTTGCCAACGTCCTTGACCGTACGGCCCTGGAACTTCATAACAGTGGCCTTGGCGGAACCGGCACCCATGTCGAAGACCAGGTGGTACTCAGGCTTGCCTCCCTCGTTGATGTTGGGGAACTGGCGGGAGGTGGCGTAGTTGAGACCAACAGCAAGGCCATCGCTGATGAGACTGAGGACCTTAAGGCCTGAGAGATCAGCGGCGGCTTGGATGGCGCGCTTCTCCTCGGTTGTGAAGTAAGGAGGGACCGTCAGGACCATGGATCGGACAGAGGTACCAGCTCCAGCAGCAGACTCGGCGTTCTTCTGGATGCTCTGCAGCTCCATGGCCAAGAGCTCCTCAACCAGCCATGCCTCCTCTTCCTCGGTAAAGACCTTGCTCTTGAAAGCAGCGGTTCCTCGCGCCTCGTTCTTTTCGAGCTGCAGGGCAGGGTGCCGGGCAGCGTATTCTTGGACAATCGGGTCGTCGACGGAGAGACCGAGAAGGGTCTTCAGGTTGGGGTAGACATCATGAGGAAAGCGGGCGGAGAGGGCAATGGCGTCGGAGCCGTATAGTCTCTCGGGGTAGGATCCGGACTTGGGGCCGCTCTGGAGAGGCTTGAAGGTGACGGCGGAGATTTCCTTGCGGCGCGAGTCCTTGGTCAGGACAATGTCGAGAGGAATGCCGGGCTTGACGAGGGCAGCCTTGATGTACTCGGTACCGAGATCAACACCAAGGACGGCGGATACGGCAAAAACGTGTGCGGAAAAGAAGAAGACGCAGCCAAGGACTACTGTCAATGGCGAGAATGTTCGTTGCGCCATCATGTGTGGTTTGCGCCCAATGGCGCTGTGGAGGGTCGTCTAGGCAGGTTCGTGTGGGAGTGACAGAGGTCGAAACTAACACGGATTGTTAGACAAGTCCCAGTATGAGACTTGAGACGCAGGAGTGTTGTAAATCTAGAGAGCGAGGAAAACCCAAAGACAAAAGAGGAGAAGTCAAAAAAAGAAGGAGAGTTCCTCGAGACAATGGCGACCTAGGAGCACAAATATGGACAACGGAGCGTCGTTGAATGGAGATTCGTGAAGGTGTCCTCTATTGGGTTCGGTACCATTCTCCCCCCAGACTGGGTCCAGGTCGTCCTCGGGCAGGGTACCTTCTAGTGGATTACCTGTCCTGGCGAAGAGGACAGCTGTAAGAAAAAAAAGTTGTGGCGCCTTCCCCCCAAATGCAAGGCTGACCACACGATAAGCATTCCATTGGTGCGATAAGAATAAGGACTGGGATTTGTGGCAGTTGTCCCGAGAAGAGTGGGGCTTCAGATCCACTCGGTGCTTTCAAGCCACATTAAAGGGGCCAACGCCCAGCTTCCCATCTTCAATTCTTGTTTGACCAAGCAACTCATGGACACTCTTTCGGACTGAGAATTACCTAAAGGTTACGTGGGTTATGACACCATCACAGAGCGGTCAGTCACCGCAGATCCAACGTGTACTACCGGCCTGTTTGTGGACAAGTATCCCCCAGCAGCTTATACTGTTCTTATCCCACTGCCAAAAGGACAGTCTTACATCAGAGTTGTTTGTAGGATGAGGCACTTGCACAGGAGACACTTAGCATAGTTGCTCAGATTCCATGAGGAAGATGAGACATACTACATCCGATGTGAAAGGCCCTGACAGACAGGTAGAATGCCGGGCCTCCATCTGAGTGTTTCAGTCTGGAATTACATACTAAAGTGAGAATCTGAAGTTCTATTCTCACAAAAAAGAGTTTGCATACTTGACACTTATTACGGCTAATTACTCCTACCAAACACCCTCCCCAATATCATCCGAAATCAGAAACACAATCTCTTTGAGTTCCCTTTGCCGTTCACATCATTGGAGATCGCGGGGTAATAAAGCTACAGTGGGGCAACCTATGGCGGGGTACAATCCAGCTGCCCTTGCATAACCTCCCAGCTGCAACCACACCAACCGACAAGGAACAAGAATTGCCATCAGCACATCACGGTGGAATATCTCGGGGTTTATATCCTTTAGGAGGCTCCGTCTTCAATAGACGCTCAAGTGGAGGCCAATCGGTCACCATGGCACATGTGGATAATGAAGTCAGAGGCAGACTGGCGTTGGTTACGGGTGCCTCTGGTGGGTGAGTTGAGGCGGCAACCTCCTCCAGCGAGTTCGTGCCTGACAACCTCAGAATCGGAGGAGCCTGCGCTCGAGAGCTCTTCAAAAATGGAGCGCGTCTAGCTCTGACATGTTCATCCGAGAAGACCTTGGCCAAAATCACAGACCTCGCTAATGAGCTTCGGAACTCAACGGACGACGACACTGACGTTACATGTCATGTAGTGGATATGTCTTCCGCCACGGACATCGAACAACTCTTTAAGAATATCATAGATGAACACGGCCATACCCCCGATATACTCGTATCCAACGCCGGCACAGCAGGCTTCAACAACAAAGCCAACCCCTTCCTGGAGAACATCTCCCTCGAAGAGTTCGACTTCACCATCAACATCAACCTCCGCGCCTCCTTCTTGCTGTGCAAGCTCGCTATGCCGCACATGGTCTCCCAGCGCTGGGGCCGCATCGTCTTCATGTCGTCCATCTCGGCCATTGGCGGCGGCATCAACGGCTGCCACTACGCCGCGAGCAAGGCCGGCATGACGGGCCTTATGAAGAACCTCGCGAACAAGCATGCCAAGGACGGCGTCACGCTCAACGACGTCGCGCCGGCCATGATTGGCGATACGGGTATGATTCCCGACGAGAAGCGCGTGGAGGGCACGCCTGGTGATGTGAAGAATATCCCTGTCGGACGGCTTGGGACGCCGCAGGAGTGTGCTAATGTTGTGCTGATGCTGTGTAAGACTGGGTATTTGACTGGCCAGAGCATCTTATTGAGTGGTGGGCTGAAGTGAAATCTTGACATCCTTTTTCTCTCCTATATTTCTGTGGATATTGGTTGCTTGTAGTACTATTGATACAGCTATATGGAAAGTGGCCCTGAAATATGATATCCAAGTCAACCGCGCAGCTAAGGACAAGAGGGGCATCACACTCTATGACGTTCACTACCGCCAGGAATAAAGCTCATCTCGCGCATATCTTCAAGGTGCGAAAATCATCTCTGCGATGGAAACATTCTATATCTCCACATTTTTGCGGTTTTGTGATTACTCTCCCCGAATTCGACCGTACTTTGCTTCGGAAGGCTTTCTGCGGGGTTGTTGTCAGCTGCCAGGCCGCGGCGTAATTCCCGATGTGTGATTACACATGATCTTTAGTAGTGTCAAACGAAACAGACCCAAAGTCTTTATCCCGTTCCCACCAAACATCCTCTTCGTGAAGTTTTCTAACTAGCATAACCCCTCGGCCAAGTAGAAAACTTAGCTCTTGTAAGACGTGATTGTTTCCAGCAATCTTTGACGGGACTTACACACAATGCCTCTCTACGAGATATCTCACGCCACCCCTCTAAGCCAACGCCAGAGGGATCAGCTCGCCGAATCCATCACCGCAATACACAGCACCAAGTTCGCCGTCCCCAGAATGTTCATCAACGTGATCTTCACAGACTCATCAAACACTCCAACCTACGTTGGAGGGAAACAAGTGAGACCCCATCCTTCCGTATGTAGACAAACACATCTACTAATCCTCGAATCGCAACCCCCAGCGCAAATCAAACCGCATCGTAGGGCGCGTCCGACGAGGATCCTCTCGGACGCAGGAGGACTTCAACTCGTTGTGCCACGAGATCCGAGCCGCGTGGGCCCAGATCGTTCACCCAGAGACGGCAGAGGAGGGGGGCAAGCTGCCGCCTCAGGATCTGGAACTGAGGTCGGTCTTTATTACCGGCGAGCTCATCGCCGGATTGAAAGCCACTTTTCCGACACCATTAGCTGGCGATGAGCTTGCGTGGGCTCAGGAGAATTTTGCGGCGTTCAAGGAGAGGGCGGAGGCGGGGGATGAGGATTTTGCGGATCTTGTTGCTGAGATTCAAAGTTGGCCAGAGTTCGAGTCTTGAAAATATTGAGTTTTATCTTCCATACTGACGACATGTAGGAGAAGCTCAGAAAGCTACTCCATAACTCGTAATGTGCATTCTGCTTTCACGTGACATATCTAGCCGAGGGACCTCTCGCCTGATCAGTCGAATTTGATAAAAGCCTGTCGCCATAACACAGAACCCATCTTTTCTACAGCCATGTAAGCATATCCTCGTTTTGGATGACAAAGGTTGGATCTCTGTTGGGGGTTTGGCCTGAGATTCTGTGAATAGGATGGCATCTCTCGCAGACCGAAACAGGTACGCCCCTTTGGCCACTATGGACCTACCGAGGCCTCTGGATGCTTATTCCGTGGTGAATCATATCCAACTTGCGACCGACAGGGTGGGCTAATGCTTTGATTCACTGCCGCCTTCGCCCATCGCAGGGAACTCTGGATGCTCCCTGCTACGCTACTGACCTCCTTAAGTCCCTCACTTTAAAAGAACGGACCTTGATAGATCGATAGCGTGGCTAAGAAGCAGACTCTTTTACTTATGCTATCGTACTAACTTATATAGCTAACTACTAAAGGCTAGGATTATTGATTAGGAGGAGTAGCTACTTATATAAACGAATGCCTTATTGCGTTGTGAACAAGTTGTATATCTTAGCCTATGAGTTACTTATAGTGAAGGTAAAAGAAGTATTTTGTGTCTTATTGGTATCCTTGTAGACTTTTGAAAGTATCACCTCCTGAGAAAACACTTGATTCTGTACTAGGTAGCTACACCCTCACTTCCCCGCTGAGAAAGACAAGGTATGTCAAATACGCACTTGTAAAGTCGCATTGCTTTCTACGTTCTTACCTCTGACCCATAGGCTAACCACTTACTCCCGGAAAACACGCCCGGAGGGCAGGCACGGCATGGCCAACCGTACCTGCCCAAAACCTTCATCCCATAACCTTTCCTTCCCGCCCGCCCGACCTGAATACGCACCAGACAGGCAGAAGCCCTTCATGTACCCCTCCAATTCCATTCCCGTCACCAGCCAGCAGGCGCTCGTCTAGGTCGACGGGTCAGGTCAAACTGGCTGGGTGATGGAGTGGTTTGGGGTCGACAATCAAAATCGCCAACCAGCCTACTCGACGACAGGCTAAGCGCATACGAGAGTACCCGAGTTCGAGTCCCGGATTGAGCACCCAGAAAAATTTCCAGCATGAGCGCCAGAGATGTAGCCCCCAGATCAGTACCGGGGGGGTGAACTCTTTTGCTATTTTAGTCAATATTGATACCCCTTTTTTGTAGTGTTTTGCTTACCCGTCGTCAGTGGACTGAATACTCTCCCTTCTATACTCGTGTGTATATCTATACTTAATTAAAGATGTCGTTGGGTATGACTAAACTAGACGTCTTTTTATATGAAAGTAGATTAGCTCGACGTGAGGACGTACACAAGTCGCCTTTCACACCATATACATTCAATCACTCGCATCAGGTCATTGTATAATGTTAGAATTGGTATCATTGGATTAACTATTTTTTGATCTCTCTCTCGGTCTCGCACCGTACACGATCGTCGGGTCTATCAGGCGTGTGTATATCTTTTGGTTTTGATGGTGGATTTTATCGTACAGGGTGTGGATATGTCGTATCTCTCGATCGGTCCAAGGAAAATAAGGGCAAGAGTACAGGTCGGATCTCGATCGGGTCGGGTCATTCGTAACATTGAAGGGCAAAAGAAAAGAAAAAGCCAACACACGCTCAGATAGACAAACAGGGTTGGATGTCCCTGATCCCGAGGGGCACCCAATGCATATTGAGAGGCTCACCGCGGAAGGTCCTGGTAGCGAGGACCTACCTTGGCTTCCTTTCCAACCTTTCATTCTTTGCGACTCTGCTCCTGATCGCGTTCTCCATCCGTGTTCCGGCTGTCGTGTGACACCGGTCGCTCAACAGGTGACAAGCCTCCAACACTAGCCGCCAAGATACCGGGCATGCCCAGGGCGGCCTTCATCGGCGACGCACTATGTCTGCTCGACGATCTGGACCCGCTCCGGCTGCGTGTTCTCTCGCGGTACTCGCGAGGCTTCATGATAACTTCGCTGATCTGGCTGATTCTTCCTCCCTTGATGCGCTTGAGGAAGGCGAGATCGTCTCTGATCTCGAGCAGGGCATCCTTGACGCCGCCGGCGCCTAGGTGCTCGCTGTCCTCCTCGTCCGTCTTCTTCTTGCGCTTCCACTTGGGGATCTTGGACCACGCCCACGCAAGAGGGCTGACGATGGCAACGAACCACGAGTCGGGGAAGAGGCGGATGAGGACACCGACGGGGATGGAGATGATGCCGAGGACGATGGAGATGCCCCATTGCGGTCCATTGAGCTTCTCAACCTTGAACGCGGCGCCGCCGACGAACACGATGAGGACCTGGCCGCCGGCCATGATGGACATCATGAGCGCGAAGAGCTTGTTCTTGGTGATGCCCTCAAAAATGTTGAGATTGTTGTCGATACGTCTGGAGTTGATGAGCTTGAAGATTTGCATAAAGACGAAGACGTTGAAGACGAGCGTCTTTTGCTGGCCAGTGGGATAGTTGAGGAAGCTGGGACCGACAAAGTGGAGGATTAGGGTGACGATAAGTTGGTAGATGGACTGGCCGATAATCATCTTCCACATGGGCGTGTTGATCAACGCGGCGGTCTTGGCCTCGGGCTTGCGGTGGAGCATGCTCTCGGTGGGAGGATCGGTAGCGAGGGCGAGGGCGGCGAAGGTATCCATGATAAGGTTAACCCAGAGAAGCTGGACGGCGTTCAGGACGGGCTCTTGGGTTTCGCTGCCTACGGCGGTGACAAATGTGAGGACGACAGCAGTGATGTTGACTGTGATCTGAAACTGCAGGAACTTCTTGACAGCGTCGTTAATGGCGCGGCCCCAAGCCATGGCCTTGACGATTGACGAGAAGTTATCGTCCATCAAAATAATATCGGAGGCTTCCTTGGCGACTTCAGTTCCGGTGATGCCCATGGAGAAACCAACATCCGCAGACTTCAGCGCAGGCGCATCGTTCGTGCCGTCGCCAGTGACGGCAACAACCTCGCCCAAACTTCGCAAAGCCTTGACCAGGATTCTCTTGTCCTCGGGGCTGGATCGTGCCAATACACAGAGATCCCGAACAATGTTGACACGCTCACGGTCGTCCATGCGGCGGAACTCGATTCCCTCCATAACCTTACCCTTCTCCGTAAGAATACCGCAATCTTTCGCAATAGCTCTCGCTGTCTCGACATTGTCACCGGTGACCATCTTGACCGACACAGAGGCGGTGCGACAGTCCTCCACGGCCTTTGGAACGCCAGCACGGACAGGATCCTGGATACCTACAACACCGAGCCACGTCAGGTTCTTAAAGATGCTGGAGAACTCGATGTTCTGGGAGCCTTCCTCCTTGCGGGCGTTCTCGGGAGGCCACTGCTCAAAATCGCGGTAGCCAAGGGCAATCGTGCGGAGGGAGCGACGGGCGTAGTCGGTAATGATTTGACGGATGTGCTCTTGCTGATCCGATGCCATTGAGGCAGTCGTAGGAGACTTCGTGGGGTCTGATACGGCGCTGGTGCATTGTCCCAAAAGGATCTCAGGGGCGCCCTTGATGAAGAAACGGAACTTGTTGTTCGGGAGGCGCACAACGGCACCCATGGCCTTTCGCTTCGAGTTGAAGGGGAAGAGCTGCTGAACGGGGCAGTTCTCGCGTTCGATGGCAATTTGCTGAAGGGCAAAGCATCGGCGAGCCCAATCGAGCAGGGCGGTCTCGGTTTTCGTGCCTACAAATACCTGCTTTCCGTTCTCCTCCGTTTCGAAAGCAGTCGTGTTCATCGCAACGGACTGCTTAACAAGATCTCTGAAATCCGCGTCGATTGCGGATGAAAGCTTGGACATGGGGACTTCGGTTGAAGCTTGGGACTTCTTGTCATCTCCAGTAACATGTACGTCCGACTCCCCATCCTCCTGGCCGGTCTCGGTTGATTGATCGTCAGAGGCAACGAAGCGGAAGTTGCCCGTACCCAAAGTGCCGGCGACGACAGTCATGACATTCTCCGTCAGGGTACCAGTCTTGTCAGAGCAAATGACAGTGGCATTACCCATTGTTTCGCAGGATTGCAGGTGACGGACGAGGTTGTTCTCCTTGGTCATCCGCTTGGTAGCGTAGGCAAGGGCGAGAGTGACGGCCAGGGGTAAACCCTCAGGCACTGCAACGACGATAATAGTGATAGATGTAATGAGAATCTGCAGGAAGCGTTGGCCCTTCTCCTCGGGAGAGTCTCTATTATTAGGAAGATGAGCCAGGAATTCGATCGTCAAGACACCCAGAAGGAGGAGACCGGCACCACTACCGAGCTTCGCAATGTAACCTGAAAGTGTTGTTAGCACACTGGCTAGCAAGACCAGAAAATAAACTTACCCGCAAGAATATTCAGCTTGAGCTGTAGAGGAGTCATTCCAGGATCGTCGCGGAGGGACATCATGGTCTTGCCATGGCTTGAGTTCTGACCGACAGCGGTGACCAAAAACGTTCCAACGCCATCCAGAACTCTCGCTCCAGAGATAATGAAAGGATCAAGCTTCTTGGGGTTCACTTCCTCCTCATGCAGTGCCTTCATGACGGCGTCTGCTGGTACTTTCTTGATCAGATCAGACTCTCCAGTTGCAGACGATTCATCGCAGCTGACGTTGTGCCCATCGATGAAAATACCATCCACAGGTATGATGTCACCCTGCTCCAAAAGCATGACGTCTCCAACAAGAATGTCGTGAACCGAGAGGTTGGCGGGCTTTCCGGATCGAATCACCTTGACGATGCGGTCCTCCTTCTTCTGGTTGAGCTTCCGGAATTGCCGCTCCTTTTGCCAATCATTGAGCGAACCGACAACCACGACAATCGTGATGGCGACGATAATGGCAACACCTTCAACCCACTCGAGCTTGGCCGTGTCATCTCCGTGATGAGTTGCTCCAAAAGTTTGGTACAATCCCAATGCCAGAGAAATGACGGCGGCCACACTCAGAAGAATCAAAACCTTGTCCTTCATCGCAATCCATGCGAGTTGCAACAGTGACAGCGATTTCCTCTCTGGCAAAATGTTTTGCCCAAATACCCTCTTCCGGTCGTCGAAGCCTTTGCCGGCACCATCGCCGTGGTGGGCGGCATCCTGTTGAAGCGCATCCGTTGGCACAGCGTCTGAGGACGACGGGAGCTTCTTTCCCGCAGCGACGGCCTCCTCGAAGCTGATGCTGCCGTCAAGCCGGGATTCGTCGAGACTCAGACCGGCGCGCCTGTCTGTCCGTAGACCCTTCTCCAAGCCAACAAGACCTCCAACGGCCACGAAGGCATCTAGACTCTTTGGGTTAATGAGCTTGGAAACCTGGCCAGGTGTGTAGGCAAACGGGTTGTTGTCAACATGGAAAGACGCCTCTTCGCCTGGGTTTGGTGCCAGGGCTTCGTCCGGGTTTGCGCCATAGCCTTTGGGAGAGCCCGAAAGGTGTGCAGCGTTCTTGTCAGTGCCTTCGTTTGTTTTCGACTTTGCTAGTGTGGTGTTGTTCGAATCCCAAGACTGGGACCGTGACTTCCTCGTGGGCACTGATAACGTATTATTGATTTCGTCGCCGTGGTCTGAGGAAGACGGTGACGATGTGATTTGGTGTTGGTGTTGGTCGTCTTCTGTAATTCGAACGCGACCCTGGTTAGTTTGGCCCGGCTGGACACGGTGGGAGAAGGATTATTTCATGACCGGTCCAGGGAGGAGGAATGCAATATGGCGTCATACCTTGGTCGTTCACGGCTGAAGTATCCAGCGTGATAGTAGGCGCCCGTGGCCGCCTCAGCGGAGAAGGATTCCGCGGCATGGTGATGCCTTGGTCTTATTATTTGGGGTTCGGTCGGTGTTTCTGCCTCGTCACCCAGAGTAGTGATCCTGGAGAGTGGTGGAAGCTCGGAGGGCAATAGAAGAATTTCAGGACAGCGACAGTCCGCCTGCCTCGTTTTGGGGGAGGAAGGAGCAGTGATTGGCAGCTGCTTTTCTGCGATGGGCGTTGGTGAATGGGTAGTTGCAGAACAACTTGGGATGCGTGGGTTGTGGTGCAAACAAAGAAGGGGTGGTGATGTTACACACGGAGTATGTAAATGGACCCAAAGAGAAGGGAGCCAGTTGTTCAGCGAGTGGCAATTGAGTGTAGCACCGTTGCGAGCTGAATACAAGTTGACGATTCGGTTTGGATTGGGAGGCGGTGTAGAGTAGTGTCAAAAGGGAGGTAGGGAGAGAGAAAATAATGGATCGAGGTGAGGGAGCTTATTGAGCTGAAGCTTGTTCGCTGCTGCTTGTTGGTGGCGGTTTGGTCGTTTACCTCCCGGTGAGGATTATTGGTGCCAGCAATGCGGATTGCGAGATGGGACCTGGATGCCAGTTGATATGTCCAGACGTGGATCCTCAGGCGAGGGTGATCTGGAGAAGGCGGCCCGCTAGGTTTGATGGGGTCATGACATCCAAGGGGCCACAGAAGAGGGCTGTGAAGCGTAGACTTTTCTCTCTTGGACCGTTGAGGTATCGATCCGGTACGTGTCTTTCGGCGAGTCTATCCGGATGGTGGAAGATCAAAGTTGGATGAAAAGAGTAGATGAAGGACAGATACAGATGTGGGCTGTGGCAGGGCAGATTTGGGCAGAAAAGACTTTTGCGGTCATCTGTACGTGGAGTCACGATGCCAAGGGTGAGGGAAAGAGAGAGAATTAGGTAGTGACGTGGGTGTGAGAACGAGAGGAAGCGTCTCTGTGTGATGGTGGTGATGGATGATGGTCTGTCGGTTGTGGACTGACAACGGATAGCAATCAACAACGGGCCAAGCGCCCGCAACAACCGCCAGCTTCACCTGCCTCAAGCAAGTTACAATGGAATTGATGATGGCACAGGGTTGCACGCTCGGGACGAGAAACATGGGGGGAAGAGAAGAAACAACACGCCGCTAGGTCGTGGACATCGTAGGTGCCTCACCAGCTGGGCTTGGCAAGTTCTAGGCCGCCTAGCCAACGGGTGAGGTACTTTGGACTGGAGAGCATTCATCAGGACAGGAGACTTACACAGCCACCATTGTCGGTGATTCGACCAAAGGCCAAGGAAATCCCAAGATGCCAAGACGTCGCTCACGCCCAGTACGTAAACGTGCAGGCGAGTGGTCATTTACGTTAATTCGCGCTCTTTGCTGCTCAGTGCTCACTCACTCACTCACTTACTGTTCGCTTCGCTCATTGGGAAGAGACCACATCATAAGGGTAATCTGCAAAGGTCGGAGTACGCAGTACAGTGGGTGACAGGTTATCTCATTGCCAAGACGGGGAGCAGCTCATTGGATATCGAAAGTGCTTTTCAAGCTGTACAGGGGGGGACGCCAAGCCATGTCTTTGAATTGCGGTGGGCGGTGGAATTGCATTCAATCTATCAAATAAAAGCATTCAATCAGGTTAGATGCGAGGACCTCGCTCTCCCTCTTTGGTCGTCCTCCTCTTGACTATCGATTATGGGCTATAACCTTAGCTTAGTTAGGTACCTTACTTGGGTAAAAAAAACAGTATCAGAACTGAGTAACGCATGTGCGGATACCATACTTGACCTTCATCTCACTCACTTCCATCTCAGTGCTCACTTTCACTCTCACCCTCACTCTCACTTTCACTTTATTATCCACACATTCATGGCAAACTCGGGGCCCAACACATGTCCGTAGACCGAGGTGAAGAACCATCCATCGGACCATTTACCGCCCCAGTTCCCACGGGCCCGGTGTTCGCTTCACCGGATGAAGAGCTTTGGTCACTCTGAGCCCCCAGAAACAGTGGACTGATCCATACGTCGCCTGAAGACCCGAATGAATCCAGCAAAGATTGGATGCCGCCGAGACATTCGTCTTTCTCCGTTCTCAAGTTTCTCTGTGACAACCGAGGAAGAAACAAGGAGGCCGCCGACCGCAAAATAGGGATGAGCCACAGTCCGGCCCTCTTGGCAGGAACCTAACAGCGGCCATCTTGCTTCGGCAGCACTCCCGAGAAACACAGCGAAACGACAGAAAAGATGCTTAGGTTTCTGTCAACCGTCTGAGCCTTTGAGGCGAAAAGGAGCGACTATGGGGCGACATCTTCCATCCCAACTTTCATCATAGTAGCTTCTCCACGTTTGGTGTGGCCGTGCTCACAAGGTCAGATCGGGTACGAAAAGGCAATTTTGGTCTTTGCCATGCAGCGGTGCCCCAAACTCAACTCTCAATCATGAGGGAGTACGGATATGGGCTAATGGATGCATCTCATCATCATTGGGGCAACCATGGGAGCCATCCCGCGTAGAGGGATTGCCATTGTGGCACCCACACCCCGGAAGAGACCAGTCCTTCTGCATACCCGGAGCCGGTGACAACCCGATTACAGATTATTACAGAACAGCCCGGAATAAGAACCCCGGCAGGCAGAGGGCCCCCCGTCAGGTACACCGTACCGCGAATGCGCTGTCACAGGTACGAACAGATAACTACCGTCTTGGGATGCGCTCACCCTTGGGCTGGTTTTCTGAGCTCGGATAAGCAGAAAGGACTTGGCTCTTGGAGGATTTGAGAGGAGCAAGACCTGAGGACTGAGGACCGAGAACTGCACTGCCTCTCTTGGTCGTCTCACCCTCTGTCGTTTTCCACCTCTTCCGATTTGTCTCCCACAATTCCTTCAATCACCAGTGACTACCGGCCGACTCAAGAAACAGATACATAGCAAGGGGCGGGGGGAATGGGGGATGTGGGAGATTGCCAAGACTTTAAACTGACATCATCTCAAATCACACAAGAACACACACACACTTACTCACTTCTCCTGCCACAGAGAGGGAAGAAAAAACAAGGCTTCCCCAAGCAAACCAGCCATGTGCCTCGATGCTCGGGTGGGTGTCACTGTCACGGTTGTCTGATGGAACGGAGATTCTAGCGAATACCTCTGAGAGCTGGCACACCCACATTGAACAACGCAACCAACTTACACGTGCAACAACTTGAAGATCAAGAGAGTCAGTGAGGCGCAGCTGTTGCGGCAGAGAAATGCCAAGAGAACGGCCTAATTTGGTTTTGTTTTGATAGTCGGCCCCCAGTCAGCCACACCCACACCCGGGAAACGAAGTAAGAAAACTTTATTATCGAGCAACCTCTCCCTTAGTGCAGTTCCTCCACGAGGAAAGCTCCGAAAGCACCTTTTCCATGCCATGGGTTGCACCCCTTTCCCTCTGACGTCAGATTAGAACCTAGAAGGCGGTACTGAAGCTTCCATTCGGAAACCTGCGCCGAAACGGCATCCTCCAGCCAGTCATCCCTGTTCGCTTTCCAAGCTTCTGTTGTAAATCATCGCAACTTCTTGACTTGGTTTCCCGTCCCATTCAAACGGTAGTTCCTCCCAATGGACAGTGCTACACGCTCCTCAAACCAAGTTTATGCGGATGTCTACACTAGGTTCGATGTGGCTGGATCATTAGGGTTTTTTTTCGTGGCGGTCTGGTCCCAACCTCACCACCTAGAAACGAGGTAAACTAAGGTTAGCCTAACTTTGACAGCCAAGCCCAATGGACCGACCGCCACTTTGCCGGCACACCTGGTAGCATCCTTTTTTTTCTCTCATAGCAAAACACTGATCGGCCGTCAAAGGCATGCAAGGTGGTGATACACCGTGATAGGTGTACAAAATACGCCCAATCGGCGCGCCAAGCGACGCGAAACCAGGACCGCCACCGCTTTGCTTCCAGCCGTCATGAAGACCATACCAACGGCAAAACAACACTGCCTCAAATACCAAGACTGCCGCAGAACAAAGATTCGCTCTCACGGCCCTCGCTTACTTGCTTTCTCTCAGACGTTAGCTGTGATGTCTTCGTACTACGAATACGTGTCCGTATCGACTAAGACTTTGCAAATCGCCGCCCCCGTTTCGCCCCTGATTTGGTCTTGGTGCTGGCGCAGCAATTCGAATGACTCTGTGATTTCTCGTTTTCGCCTCAAAGGAGTAGACTCTGTATGATCTGTCGATGCGCGCGGAGATTGGCATAACGCCGGGCCATCCCGTTCCCTTCCATAGTGACTGACCGTGCATGATGCCCCCTGGCACGGGGAGAATTGCATCCACTCCGGCCTCGACAGTGACACCCGGCACCCATCTCCGGTCGGGTCTCCACATTTACCGGGCCCGTCGCCGGAGCCCCATCGGATGTCCCATTCACTACCTCCTTTCGAGAGGTAGATGGCCGTCTTTCAAGCACATACGGTCAAAAGCCACACCTTTACTCAGCCAACGTTAACATCTTGTGTAAGATTGGATCATATGGTCGCTGACGACTGATCCTTTATGCAGGTTGCATTTAGGCAATTCAGAAGTGATCTCACCCGGAGCTTACTGAGAATTTCGTATTACCAATCCATCCTGAATCTCGCCAGTCGGCATCAACTCTCTCCTCATAAAGTTGATCTTTTATGTAGGCTAATGGGTCTTCATATGATGGTGGTGGTGTTTCGGAATGCTGAAGTCGTGAGATGACCCAAGCCACGAAAACAGTGTACGATACACATCGTCTAGACAGAAGCAAAGAGGAATCATCCACGCAGCAAACCAAACCTATCCCCATTCTAACTTCCGCCGCGAGTGGAAAAAGCCATGCCAACATACGTAGTCACCGGCGCCAGAGCTGGCATCGGCCTGGAATACATCAACCAACTAAGCAAATCCCCCTCCAACACAGTCATCGCCCTCGTCCGCTCCACCGCCCCTTCCACAGACCTCTCGGCCCTCGAAGCCATCCGATCCTCCAGCACCGCCACGACGCACATCCTCGAATGCGACGTCTCCTCCGAGGCATCCATCGCCGCGCTCCCCGGCCGGCTGTCAGCAGCCCTCCAAGAGAGCCGCGGGACGCCGGCTAAAGTGGACTTTCTCATCAACAACGCCGCGACGCTGCAATTTGCGCACCAGACGAGCTTGACGCTTGATAAGGCGGGACTGGACGTGCACATGGAGACCAACGTGCTCGGCCCGGCGAGGATGGTGCAGGTCTTGCTACCCTTCCTGACAGCCGAGGGCGGTAGCGAGAAGGACGGTGCGGAGGCTGCTGGCGAGGGCGAGGAGAGGATCGCCGCGGTCGTCGCCAACATTACCTCCGGCGCGGGCAGCCTGGGCTGGACCAGCGACGGCCGCGTCGGGATGCTGGCGGGCTACTCCATCAGCAAGGCGGCGCTGAACATGCTGACGGTGCATCAGGCGCGGGAGTTGAGGGGCCAGGGGGTCGTTGCGGTGGCTGTCGATCCGGGTCATGTCAAGACTGATTCTGGTGGGCCTGGGGCGACGGTTGAGGTGGAAGATAGTGCGGGGGGTATATTGGCTCTGCTGGCTGGGCTCAAGAGCGCTGATAGCGGGAAGTTCTTTTTGTACAATGGAACGTCTGTCCCGTGGTAGGCCTTTTGTGAAATTTGCACGGGAAGCTGGAGAATGGCTTCTCTTGAGAGTTGACTTGCTATCTCATTTTGAGAGATTTTACTATTATATCCTACTCTGGGCGTGTGAACAACCGAGAAGTTTATGAATGGTTTAAGCGGCATTCTCGATCTGGATCTATAAGTTATTTAGTGTGATTCTCGAGGGGGGCGGTAATCGACCTGAGTATTTCTACATGGTAATAGAGAATACTATGTTTTATCTTCAGTCTGCCTTTTGGAGAAAATGACCTCAGAGTTCTGGAAGACAATGGGCCTGTTTACTACAGCCAATATTTATAAAAAAGGCCATTCGGAGACGTGCTATCAAGATTTCAACCATCCGTCCTGAAAGCTTAGTATCTTGAATTCTTACTGACTCTTTCCTCAAAACCAGCGGTTCCTACTTCAAAGTTTCGCAGATTTGTTCCACCTTACTTTATAATGATAAGTAGATCCGTTCTGGATATTGTGCTAGAGAAACGGGGACCTATTGTACAATTCGTTAATAGTCACTCTATTCTAGTCATTAAATTTTGTTCACATTTATTGTGAGCTCAGTTTCTATCATTTAGACTAATCGTTCTGGAAAAGACAATATTCAAGGATAGGAGGAGAGGAGAACCACTGGACAAATTCTAATTGTACAATACTTCACTCGGGACATCTACTTTCATTCAAATCATATATTATAAGCCAAGTTGATATACGTAGGTACCTCCACCGTCCTCAAACGAAAGGTATCGAGAAAAAGTTGGGTAGGTAAGCAGGGAGGAAGGAACCGTCCGTGATTCGTTTCCTTCCACCACGACCTAAATACACACTTGAATACACATCCGAATACACCACAACCGAAACCCATATAGACCCCCTCAACTCCATTCCCGTCACCAGCCAGCAGGCGCCCCCTTGGGGGTCAGGTCAAAACTGGCTGGGTGGTGGAGTGGTTCAAGTCCACGAACAGCCTAATCGGTAAAGGCTCAGAGGTCCCGAGTTCAAGTCGAAAAAAATTCCTGATATATATATATATATACCGTAGATATATGAGCGCCAGAGATGTAGCCCCCGTTCGCCACCGGGGTGAACTCTTTTGTAGTTTTGCTATTTCTTTTTTTTGAGCCCTCGGTACCTTTATAGCAACTCGTATAACTACTCGCACAGTTTTCCCAGTCCTGCTTTCCCACCGCGCAAATACCCGCCGTGCCTTCCTCGGCAAGGCCATGATGAATAGGAGTTAAGAAAGAGAGAAGACGAGACCAACCGTTTGGATACGCAGAATCCCGACACATACGTCAGTCTTACGTGACACCATCTATGCCCATGTGCCTCTCTTCCTTACAAGTCACATCACATATTGTTAAATGTTGAGGACCATTGAATTAACTGGCTTAGCCACACTTGGGCTGCTTGGTAACATTATCATACGAAAGTAGACGCTAAGGGCTACTCAGAGTATCCTACACACTTCTTCTCTAAAGGAGGCCGTTTCTAGGCCCCCGACATACAACTCGCAAAGAAATGACCCTCCAATCAACGAAGCTTGCGTGCGATGCGCGGCAGCCTCTAGTTCCTCGTGCCCACGCGTCGTCTCCTTGTTGAAGAGGTTATATCTGCGTCGCCCGCCAACTCATCAACGTCGTCTTCCGCCATTGGTGTATCTTCACCTGTAGCGACGCTAGCCGGCCTCGTGTTCCCAGAGTTCGAGGGAGCTTGACCTGTGCGCTCCTTCTCCGCGTTACGGAGCTCTCCTATAATCTTCTCGACCTCCATAGACATCATCCTCGTAGAACGCACCACGGCGTCCTCGTCAACCTCATACCCCACTACGTCAGCCCCATCCGCAGCACTGCCGCCCTTCATGAAAGCCGGACCGGGCCCGCGACTCGGGTTGAGATTGTACATGATGGCGTTCGAGAACATATGAACAAGCTCTCGTTCGAGTTGGGCGCTGTTGATGATGCTCTTTGGTGGCACCAGATCGTCACTGATTGGCAAAAGAACAGACCCTGTGCCTGGGTCACCGTCTGGCAAGGCCTTGGCGGCCTCAGTAGCTGCTCTGTTGCCATGTGTGATGGCTGCGCGAATAGACTTGATGTCTTGCGGCTGAATGATCAGAGTCTTGTAACCAGGGGCGTCTCGCTCTCGAATGGGATTCGCGAATTGGTTTGCAAACCTGTGAGCACCAATCTGATCAAGCGCAGCAGCACTTACACGACCAAACTGGCGTGTCCATAGCACGTGAGTCGGGGCTGTCGGCGGTGCGAGTGGCTCGGTTGGAGTGTCCTGACGTTTGCGCTTATGAGCAAGGCGGGATGACACGCTACTAGGTGTAATCATGTTGCGCCGACTCGGCACGCTTTCGTCAGCAGTTGTATCGCCCGTGTCATCTTGTGGTTTCGGTGTCGCTCTGGGAGTCACTCTAGGAGTGGCGTTCTCGTCCTTAATTCTGGGCGCCAGCTCATGGTGATCCATTGACAACTCGTCAGTTTGTGACGTGACCGACTGACTTCGTCGCGTACCCGCAACCGAAGGTGTGCTGTCGGCACGGACCTTGTGCGCACTGCGTGGGGGGCGGCCTCGGCCTCTAGGGCCGGGAGTTTTCGTCTCTGACTTCGGCACTGGAATGGGTACGGGGGTCGGCTTAGGACTGGGCTTTCGCGGTGCTTGTGTAGGTGTAGGCGCAGACGGCAACGGCGCAACTTGCTGTACAGGGCTCAGTGGTTCAAAGGCGGGACTAGCAACCTCCTTGTCTGATGCACCCGGCCGAGGGGTCGAAGGCGTAGAAGTCACGGTCCACTTAGTTCCGGAGCCAGTAAGAAGGAAGCTGGGAGGCGCTGTGACAGGCGTCTGTGGCGGTGGGATAGGAGTATTCGCGGCTCGTTGTGCTGGAGGTGCAGCAGCTGCAGCAGCAGCAACTTGCGAAACCAGGTGAGGAGGAATAGCAGGCCGGGGTTGTTGCTTATTGAAGGGAGGGCTCACGCGCCTTTGAGCATCATTTGGCTTAGCATTCGGCTGGGATGGCGCAGGGGCTGGGGCCGGAGCTGGCGTAGGGCTGAATTGTTGCTGTGCATAGGGGGAAGGGTGAGGTTGCTGCCATCTTGGAGGAACGACGGTCTGCCCTGAAGCACCAGCGGATGGGGTAGGTGATGCTGCAGCGATAGGTCGTGGCTGCTGAACGGTATGTGGCCGCGCAGAAGGCGTAACCGACGGGCCTGGTGGACGGCCTCTGCGCGGTAGGTTCCCAGAGCTCTCTGAAGGCTCCTTGGTCGGCGTTGAGTGGGCTGGAGCCACCAACTGTCCCTTTGGCTGAGGCTGAGGCTGAGGTGTCGGGGGTTGATGATGCTTTTGAGGCTGAGGCTGATTCTGATTTTTGACTGGTGTCTGAGTCTGGGGTTGAATATGAACGTGAGCCTGAGCCTGAGCTTGAGCCTGCGTGTGAGCTTGAGCCTGAGCCTGAGGGTGAGACTGGGCTTGCCCTTGGGGCTGAGGGTGACCTTGGGGTTGAGGCGCTACCAGTACCGGCTGGGGTTGCTGCGAATATCTCTGTGTCTGATTTGCTTGCATTGGAACATGAGGAGGCTGCGGAGGACCATGGTATTGCCCTGTTGGTTGAGGATACCATTGAGCAGGGTGATGCGCCTGATTCGGGGTAGAAGGTGCAGGAGGTGTTGGGGTTTGAGCTGGCATAGGGCGGCCCTGTGGTTGAAGTGCTGGTGCCGCAGGCTGATATGGCTTTTCCCACTTCAGAGTCCCCGGAGTTGAGGGTTGAGCGGGCGTCCCTGGCGTTGGAATCCGAGTTTTGGGTATGTTTTCCGGCCGTGGTGATATTGCCGGCAGAGGGACCGGCGACGTCGACTGGCCGGGCCGAACTGGCGGATGCCCAGCACCAGCAGGGGGCTGCAAGACCTGGCCGGCACTATTGGGAGGCTTCAGATTTTGATGCTGCTTGGCGTCTGGCCCGCTAGCGGGTGCCATAACCGATGCCCCAGTAGCAGACACAGCTTGCGCCGGAGGCACCGTAGGTGATTGCTGAAACGCGCCTGCCGGCGGAGCTACATCTCGTCTTGCTGGCGCAGGCTGTAGGGCCGGGGGTGGAGCTGGCGCAACGGTCGTTGGTGGCCGTGGGAGCGCTTGAGGCTGCAGTGGTACATGTCTCGGAATCGGTACTGGAGTCTGCGTCGGAACGGAACCTTGTCCGTTCGCAGGCCTAATCGGTCGCGGAGTCTCAACGGGAGGCGTTGGGGTCGATCGCTTGGCTTGATTTTGAGATGCGACCTGGCCGGGCGTGGAGTTCAAAGAGGGAACCGGGACAGGTGTCGGGACAGGCTTTGGCGCTGAAGACCCATTTGGTGCGACTGGACGGGGTGTGTTCGCCTTGGCTCGATCGATCGCGTCTTGCGTTTCAAGAATCTTGATATCTCTGGCGAGCGTCTCGATGCGCCGTTCATCTTCCTTGATATCCCTGACGACATTTTCCTTATATCTTGCATAGAGTCGATCCACCAACGCGGGGAACCTATGTGACTGCTCCTTGACCTCCTTAAGCGTAGGTAGTGGCGGATGACTGAGCTTGCGTTTCTTCAAAGTTGGCGACGCGCCATCGGCCTTATCGGTCGTCGCACTCTCGATCCTCAGCTCTTCCTGCAGCAGGTGCAGGAAGAGTTGTCGAAGCGCATCCGGGCTCAGTCGTTTAGCGTCGTATGTCTTGTCATCTTTGATCAACGAGTTGTTGACGAGAAGATCGGAAACCTTGACGAAGGCAGTGGCTTCGACGCCGTGCTTGAGAATGGCTTGGAACAGAAACAAGGACTCGAGAGGAGTGTAAGCGGCCGGATTATTCATGCCCCAAAGCCCACCTCGCCAGTGATCGAGGGAGCCGTCGCGTCTCGGGAGAAGGTGGATGGGCGCCAGGGTCTGCATCTCAGACGTTAGACAAGTGTCATCTTATCAAGACGTCGCAAGGCTGAGAGTCGCGCGTCGCGG